GGTTAAGAGCCTGACGTGGACATGTAGTTAATACTCACATTCACGACAGTTAATAGGAAACTATATGCAGAAACACTATAACTGAAGTACTCCGTCAACTCTCTCTCACTGATGAGAACCAAGAACTTGTAAAAAATAAACTGCTACTACATCATCTTGTATGTCAACTGAAAAATATATTGTTTTACCAACAGTGTTTACCTTAGCCCTTACAATTCCTGACTACCCCATACCATCCAGGCCTATTAAATAAAATCTTTTTTATTGTTCAGTGTGACACAGTCTCTAGTGACACTTCAAGGGATCTAAAAAAATGGCTCCTGTTTTCTCGTAACAACTTCCTGGGCTGAGTATAAGCCAAATTAGATTCTGTCATAGGGTGGGACGTTCAGATTTATAAAAGAGAAGAGATTGGATTTATACCCCGCTCTTCACTTGGAGTCTCAGAGCGGCTTACAAACTCCTTTCCCTTCCCCTCCCCACAACAGACACCCTGTGAGGTGGGTGGGGCTGAGAGAACTCTGACACAAACTGCCCTTTTTCAAGGACAGCTGTGCCAAAGCTTGTGACTGACCCAAGGTCACATCAGCAGGTGCAAGTGGAGGAGTGGGGAATCAAACCCGGTTCTCCCAGATTAGAGTCTGCACACTTAACCACTACACCACAAATGTTATCACGCTACTGGGGGCCAGCTCAGTACCTGAACAGAACTAAAGATTTTGGTGGAAAAAATCTGCCTCACAGTGAAGATGAAGCAGGGGTCCGTCATAGCTGCATTAGGTTGGGGAACTCCTGGAGATTTGGGGACAGAGCCTGGGGAGGACAGGGACCTCAGTGGGGTAGAATGCCAGAGTCCATGCTCCAAAGCAGCCATGCTCCCCAGGGGAACTAATTTCTGTAGTCTAGAGACAAGATGTAATTCTGGGGGATCTCTCCAGGAATCCCAGGGCTCTTGGAGGATTGGCTACATTAGGGGTGTGTCGCCTAATATGCAAATGAGTTCCTGCTACAAAAAGAGCTCTGGGATTCCAGTATAAGTTGGTGTCTATCCGTCCATTCTGTAGTTTTACCATAGTGTCCAAAAAAGTATTTCTTGCATAGATTGGTTCATTGTCAGGTTGATGGTGGGGTGAAAGTCATTGAATGCTTGGTGGAATATGTCCAGGGCTTCTTTACCGTGTGTCCAGATAATATCATAGTTGAAATGCAGCTATGACGGACCCCAGCAGTGGGGCCAGGACACTAGAAGCCCTCCCACTGTTGCCTCCCTAAGCACCAAGAATACAGCACACCACTTACCCCAGACTGAGAGTTCCTATCTATAGTTTGTGGCTAATAGTCACTGATGGACTTCTGCTCCATGTGCTTATCTAATTTATTCTTGTCTGACGAAGTGTGTGTGCATATGAAAGCTCACACCTCGAATAAAACTTTGTTGGTCTTAAAGGTGCCACTGGACTCTTAACTTTGTTTTGTTGCTTCAGACCAACATGGTTGCCCACCTTGATCTTACAACTATGATGAGAAAGAAAGACGATACACAGAGGGAGAACTCCGCCATAAGACTAACATTGCAAAATAAAACGATTCCATTTCCTTGAGTGTTAGCAACCATTGCTTACTTTAAAAAATATTTACAATTCCACATGCTAATATTCAATATTAAGCAACAGTAAGAAAATTTGCTTTAAAATGGATTCTACATTTTTGCACTTATGAATAAACTAATTAATGAAATCATTTACATTCAGAACTGAATTTCACATCCACTTAGTGCCCTAGCTTATTTGCTTCAGTTTACAAAATTAATTTTAGGCTTTATATCACTTACAGGAAAGCTTGTGTTTTATATTGCATCGTATATAATTTTATCTAGTATCAAAATGAATATGAAAATTGCATTGATAATCTACTATATGAAACCTTGAAATAAATCCATCTTGTCCCAAATCTACTGTTTACCAAGTATTTGTGTAAATGTTGAAATAAAATGTTTGGTATTAAACATTTAAATACAAATTTGTCTCAAGGAATGCTGCACAAACAAGGCACAATCCAGTCAACGTTAAGCATTTGAAGTCCCATTGATGTCAAAAGGAGAAATTTAGGTAGGTGCCTAACTCTGCTGTGGTGGGCAACAAACACAAAAGTATACAGCGTTATGCTGAACTGTGCCCATGATGAATGTGCTAGAGGAATGACAAGTAGTCGTGGCTGAAAACAAAAGGACATGCTCAAGCACTAATACTCTTCACATTAACAGTTATAAATACATGAAAACATAACAACCAACACAAAGAAGAGACTAACATATTTTCTAATTTTAATACATAGCTTTCTTGCTAGTAATCAGTTCTTTTTATTTGAAGATGTTGACATCATTAATGTAACAAAACAAACCGCATGGCCTTTAACAGTTAAGATAATAACTGTACTGGAGTGCAGCCATTAATATGAGACCGGAACCCAGAGCCTCTCTCTCAAATAAAGTTATAATAGAAAAGAGTCATCCAACACCTAAGAAGTGTACATATACAAATAATTTACAAGGCTGCTTTGAGCCATTTGCTTAGCTAATGCAGCATGTTACACACACACACACACACACTCTCTCTCTCTCTCTCCTTATATATAATTCCATTTTGGTCATGGACTCTCCCCACACGCTCCCAAATCAGTAGGCTCCCTGATGTGTCACTCACAAGGTGTCTCCATCTACTGGTGAATGCATTGCCTTAGTCCCGCCCACCTGCCCACAGAACTGGTGCCCAGCCTCTCAGCCTCAGTATGCTGGGAGGCGACGGACGGGGTGGATGCCCTGGTGGGCGAAGGGGGTTGTTCGCCATGGACACCGGCAGGTGGCCGGTGAGCAGCCGAGAGGACACTGGAGGCGACCGGATGCAGGGCCTGAGCCCGCTCCTGGCAGCGCCGCAGCGGACTTCATCGACTGTGGATGCTTGCAGGTACCCGGGCGGGCGGCGAGTGGCCCAGAGTCGGCTGGGCACGGGGGACACTCCAGCAGCCGGGGCCTCATGATGTCAACACCGATCATGCCTGCAGGTGGCTGGGCAGCCAGCGAGCAGACAGACGCCGGCAACAAGGGGGAGAAGCTGGCCAACAAGGGGGCCGAGGCCGACATCCAGGAGCTCCATGGCGTGAGTCCCCGACCCCGGGGTCTTTCTAGAGTTCTTTGTATTGATTGTATAACAGGCTTTGCTACTAGTGTGTGTGTGTGTATATCCCCACCCAACCTGGATAGCTCAGGCTCACCCGATCTCATCAGATTTCGAAAGCTAAGCAGGGTTGGCCCTGGCTAGTATTTGCATGGGAAACCTCCAAGGAATGGCAGAGTCCTGATGTAGAGGCAGGCAATGGCAAATCACCTCTGAACGTCTTTTGCCTTGAAACCCCATGGGGTTGCCATAAATCAAGCTGTGCCTTGATGGCACTTTCCATCGCCATATACACTTTTAAGACCTGAACTATTTTTATGCACAGACTCCTAACATTCTTATAGGCCTATCATGATGAAGTACTCTTTTTAGCAGTTGTAAACAGTGTCATGAAAGTGGGTCCTCAGGATCTAAGTATTTGCATTTTCTGTAGCATTTTTTATCCCTAAGTTTTGTCTGGATTGTTTCCAAGCTACAATGTACCTTACGAATGAGCACCTGCAGTTAGTTACCAGTTAGCTTGATAGTAGCCAGCTGTGAGCTGTCAAAGTAATTGCTTGACAGCAGACTATCTTGACAGTTCAAGATCTAGATCAATTGACTGATCCCTGTGATTGGTCAGTCAATCAAGAACTGACAGCTGAGCTAGGATAAAGCGAGGAGTCAGGAACTACCAGAGAAGGATGCAAGGATGTTCACACAGAAGATGTCAGAGAATGACGGGGAAGAACCTTCTGCATGAAGAGCTTGTGAACCTGGAGGAAGAGGTTGTCATTCTCTTCAGTACTTCTGCATCAGAACTGCTGGGAAGACTGCTGCACAGGGTCATTGTTAGTGGCTAGAGAGTCAGGTTTCTTATGTTTGCCTTTGTTTCAGTGTACACACCCTTTCCCTTACTCGCATGTTTTTATATATGTAATTCTTTTGTCAATAAATTTCTGATTCTGTTTTTTAAGTAACTAGAGTGAGTTATTGGCTTAGAACCCAGGTTTATGGTTAAAACCAGTGCCTAGAATTACGCTACCAAAAGGGATAGATTTTTTTAATTGGAACACTACCCAAATTTCCTTATATCCCAAGCCAGCCTGACCAAATAAACATTGGGGGCACACCCCAGTGTTGTGACAAATGGCAATGATGACTTTCAAACCAGTCTAAAAAGAGATTACAAGCAAATGTTTTTACTTTCTAGTTTCAGAAGTGCAGTCCTGTAAACCCTATGTAATATGGTCCAAAGCCCAATCCTAAAAAGGCTTATTCAAAATGAAATTACATTTGGTTAGTGAGGCCCACTTTTTGGTAGTTATGCTTAGGCTTGCAACCTTAGGCTGATGAAGTTATTATGTTGGAAAGTACGATAGTAAATTAAAAGCTTTATGTATACACACATATATAAACACAACATGCTATTTTAACATCTTAGAGAAACATCCTTGCAATGTTTAGAGATATAGTTAATATTAATACTTCAGAACAGTCCCTTCACCCAACATCTAATATTGTTATTTATTTGCCTTAAAAGGGTTCTATAAATAAATCTGATCAGAAAATATTGCCTTTAGAAGGAGCAAATCACACATACTTCACTTTAGAAGTAAAAAAAAACCCTTCACTTTAGAAATGTGCAAATTGTGATGCTAATTTGCTTTTTATAAAACCTGAGGGCAGAATATTATTTTTCATCAAAAACAGGACAGATGTGGTCCACATCAGTATGAAAAAGAAAACCTGAAATGAAATCTGTAAACTTTAAAATACCTCATCAATAAAGCTGAGCCTTGTTACAGCTAGTCTCTTCAATAATTACACTATAGAAAGTGAAGTAAATTAATTTTCCATATTTTCTATAAAATCACGTTCCACATAGTCCTCTAGGAGCTTCAGGGTTCTTGTGCTATTTCCAATGGAACTGTCTGTTTTGAGAGGCACTGAGCTATGTGTATTGAGGGACCTGCTGCTTTCAGTTTTAAAAGCACAGCTCAGTATCCTGAAGAATGGCATTAACTGTGTGATGCTGGATATAGAATGAAGATCCAGAAGTGGAAATTCATATTTTGTTGGTCTCCCATTGGTATTCAGTTCCTGCAAAAACATACAAAACCAGTGTTGTTGAGGCATATTTGCAGACAACGTAACATACAATGTAAATTGATGTATGTACTAAATACAAATTTCCATTTTAACATGCACTAGATTAAGAGTGGCTAACAGCCCACAGGATTGGTACATATAATAGGGTGTTTTTTATAACAAAACAACTGTACACATTTGGTTGCAGCTGCTAGTCCAGCCTAGGAACTCAAACTGAAGTTTGATGATGTTGGTCAGGTGTGACACTATTTACACTATTGCTGCTGAGATTGTGTGTGTAATATGGCACTCTAGGGATGGGCACGAACCTAAAAACCCCAGTTTGGGGCGGCTCCTGAACTGAACAGATCCAAAAGCCCCCCACCTGAAGTGAGCCAGTGAGTTCGGGCTGGGGGGAATCGCCCAGGAAGAGTTAAATGGCTGGCTGCCATTTAACTTGTCAGTTTCGCTTCCCCAGCTTTGGGGGGGGGGAGCAAAACTGATCAGTGAAATGGCACACAACCATTTCAGCCTAACAGTGGGGTGGGTCCACCTGTTAGCTATTAGGTTGAAATGGCTGGCAGCCATTTCACCAGCCCATTTCACTTCCCCCTGCTTCGAAGTGGGGGAGGGTGTTGGGTTTAGCAAGTTAAAACACTTCAGCAATTATAGAGTTAACTTTGTTTGCATTAGTCAACAGGAAGTCACATGTTCATTTGTGCCCAATCTGTTAACTAAGTGGAAAACCCGGGAATTTTGTAGGAGATCTTATTATAATGACCTGAACTTTAGCCCTGTGATTGGGAATCAATGTATTGGCTATTTAGCATATTGAGGTCCCTTTTTCCTGCCTTTGTCTTGGAGAAGGAGACATCATTCCAGTTTCTCTTCTTGTTCCTGTAACATCTTCTTAGCAGTAAAGATGTAGGGATCTAGTGCTTTGTTATTTTGTATCCCATTTACCTTTTCCCCATGGTAGTTTTCTAGTAAAGTTTTTTATATTTTACAAACATACAGATAGACTCAGTCTCTCAATCTTTGCGCTGCTGATTTAATCTCTGCTTAACTATATTTTTTTACAAAGAATACCCTACAGAGGGGGAGTGAAAACAACCGGTGAAATGGCTTGCAGTCATTTAAACCTAACAGCTCAGCTGCAGACCCCACACCGCTGAGCTGTTACGTTTAAATGGTTTCAAAAAACTGAACCGGACAAAAGTTTCCTGAACATCGCTTTGGGCCCCCCGAACCGACCCAAGTTCATGCTGAATTTTGGCTCACGACCCAGTTCATACCCATCTCCATGGCAGTCATTTCTAGCATTCACTGGGTAAAACCCAAGACGACACAATTCATTCGAGTTTATGGATGTAGAAGCTTTTCAAAAAGTTTTAATCCTGGGTTAAGTGCTCTCCCATGGTTTGACATTAACGTTTGGACTGTTTTTAATTTTAACACTTAAAATGGCAAACTATAAGTTTCTACTTGCTCTACAGAAATGCTCTGCTATTCATGGAACATGTTCTCTTTAGCTTCATTTTTATTTCTTTTCTTTAAAGTTTATGTACTTGACTTTTCAAATACATCTATTTTTAACAAGCAATTTGTGACAGGGTTGCCAACTGCAGCTTGGAAGATTCCTGGAGATTTGGGGAATTGCCTGAGGACATAGTGTCCACCCTCCAAAGCAGTCAATTTCACTAGGGCTACTGATCTATATAGTGTGGAAATCAGGTGAAATTTCTAGAGAACTCCACGTTCCACTTTGAGACTGGTAACCCTAACTGGTGAACATATTATCCCCCTTCCCCAGCAAGAATACTCTATTGTATTTATACTGAAGTCACACTAGTAATGCAGGAAGCACTGCACCCCATGTAAAGCTTCTGCTATTGCTAATTTTTTAAAAGGACATCTGTAACATACATCTTCAGATACCGGACTGTATCTGCATTTCAATACAATTTTACACTTGTGTCCCGACAAGAGGCTGTCAGGACTTGGGCCACCCTCACTGGCACCCCCCCACCCCACCAGTCCTGTGACCCAAGGCAGCTGAGCACTCACCCCATCAAGAGCCAGTCCAGTGGCCAGGAGGATCCTTGGACCCTGGGAGGAAGATACCGGTGATGACGGGGGCAACAACCTGCCCAATCATCCTGCCACAAATAGTGGATGGCCCAGCCATGGGTCTGAGCATGCCAGTGGGGAGTGGGATCAGCCCCCGAGCATGGAGGCCAGGTGATGGGGATGGCCCCCCAGAGCGATGGGCAGGGAGCGAGTCATCGCAGCGGCATGGGCCATTGCTCTGGCCCAGCCCAGGGACAGTGGGAGGCAGCAGGGGCATGCCCAGAAGCCCTGAGCGTTGGGGCTTATGTGTAGGGGTGGGGCCCACCTGATGGAAGGTTGGGACCGCCAATGGGGAGGGACCCAGGGAACAGGGAAGGGTATAAAAGAGGCGAAGTGATGGAGGTTGGGGAGGAGAAGCTGCTGGTGTCAGAAGAGAGCCCAGAGAGACAGTGGAGTAGGCACCAGGCTATGGCAGGTGCGCCTTGGGTGTAGTTAACCTGGCACCCCGTCCACATTTGAGACCTCCAGCCCCACCCAGGCTGACCAGGACCGAGTGGGGACAACGGCCAGTGGTGGGCATCTCTCACAGGCAGAGGCAGAGCTTGACAACTTGGAAGACAAAGGTAACACAATCTGTTCACTCCCTCACATACTGTTCGCACTGCTGTATATACAGGAAGGTATCTTTATGTATTCTATGTAGAACCCACCCCGTGGCTGTTTCTGCATTGTACACAAGAGATACACAAGAGTGCCGTGGAACATTTCACTTCCCCAGGCACACATGGTCATTCATTCATTCATTCATTCATTCATTCGGGACACAAAGGCCTGCCACGGAAGATAATGGCTGTACTTTCTGTGTGCCCAATACATACTGGGATGGAGTCTGAAAACTTAACAGTTTAATCAAGAACTTCCGAAGTAAACAATAAAGTTTTATATTAATAATATGGAAATAATGAAATTTAGTTACCCCAAACTTCAACTTGAGTAAATCCATGATTCTAACAATATGTGGTTTGTATTCCTGGTGATTTTCCATTAGATCCGAAGTCATGTTGTAAGTCTGTGTGTCCACCTCTGGAACAAATGCCCACCTGTACCTAAATGCAAAGAATCAAGCATGGACATTCTTCTGGTTTTAGAAAAAAATTCTAGTAAATTTCTGTACTTCTCATTGAATAGAAGTTCATTCAGCAATGGGATAGGTCCTTGCACTGGAAGACAGAGTAAATTTCATTTGCCTGGGAACAGTCCATGAACATGTAATACTTTTTTATAAAAACATGGTGAAAGAATGCTTTGCTGCAGATAATTTTATAAACGAAATTAATTGTCAAGAGAAAAAGGCCCTTTCTTCAATAAGAGGAAGGCCAAAAACTGGAGATCCCCACAAATCACAGTAGTCATATATCTGAGGATTTGTGCACTGAATGAATTCCTAATCAGAACAAGAACAGAAATTCGCCAGATAAGAATTTCCTTTCATCCCAATAGTAGTTCATTCAGCAATGATATGTCCAAAATGAAAGATCCTATGGCAGGACAAATCTTTGGTAAAGAAACACAAATTCCTCATAGCTTGAGGACACTCTGCTTTCTCCAAAATGTAGCCCCCTACAGAAGAGATGATATACATCAAGAATGCATGAACTAATAAAGCACTCCAATAACTCTATTTTAGGGGGCAGCTGAAGTGGCCATTCCTTTGACAGAATGTGCTAGGATATCCTCTTGCATGGAAAGGTCAGAAAATGAATAGGCCAAAGCTATATCTTTATTGTGAGACACCTTGAGTTCCACAAGGGAGAAAAGCAGCTAATAACTATTTTAAATAAATATTGCCTCCCTTAGCCATTGAGATAATGTGCAAACAGAAACTTTTCTCCCCAACGATGACTCATGGATTTGGAGAAACAGGTTGACATCTTTCCTGGTAGACTTTGTGTGAATCATATAGAGTTGACAGCCCTACACACACCCAGAGTATGAAACTCCTTCTTTATAGAAATAAGCTGAGAACCAAATGACAGAAGTATGAATTTCTGGGTCCTGAGACAATTAGCATTAATTTTTGGAATGAAGAAAGGATCTGGTTGTGATACAACTTTGTGTTGGAAAGTACAAAACTCCCTACAAACTCAAAGTACCTCCTAGCTGGATAACGTGGCTACCTGGAACAAGAAAAGCACCTTCAGAGAAACATCACCCTGAAGCCTGAAAGAAAGGTATGTCAGAGTTCATAGGACCACATTTGAACTCCGTAAAGAAATATGCTAGACAGGAGGAACAGAAAGTGTATGAATAGCTGATATCCAGATGTAGATTTTTATTTTTAGGGGATGCTACATAGGGCAAGGATTGCTCTCTTTAGTGGGCCTAACACCAGAGTCCAGAAAATTCTGTAAAAAAAAAGTCATTAAACGCTAAGCAAGAGGAAGCTGAGATTTCAGATCCAGAACATCATCTCAGAAAAGCCTTCTATGAGTTGATGTATGCTGTAATTGATGAACACTTGAGCAAGGCCAACAGAGTAGAGATGACTATGAGATGACAGCCAGTAGTGGTTAATGCTTGCTTTTCAATTTACAGGGGCCATATTAACTAACTCTTGGATGAAAAATTGGGCCTTGAAAGAGAAACACTGGGATCTTTTAGAGATGCCAAGGATCACTGACAGCGGTCTGTCACATCACTGAGCCATGGACACCTGGGCCTTGTCAGTGCAATCTGAATGACATCAGCTTCCAGCATCCTGATGGTCATTTGCAAGAGCAGAAGAGAGGGCATATAGCAGACCTTTGGGCCAAATGGCTTGAAAGCACCACTAGAGCTACTTCTCTAGTCCAGTGGTCATCAGCTTTCCTGACCGGAGACATGCAAGGAAATAAAGAAAGTCATGTGACAGGAAGACAGAGACTCTCAGTTACAGCCATGTCATGATCAACATCAGGAGAGCAGCAGAGCAAGAAATTTGATGGTCTTGAACATTTGGAAGAGGTATTTAGTACCTCAAAAGCAGGTATGTGCAGCTCTGTTAAGAAGCCTCTGAAAGCAATCTGAGGCAAAAAAACCTTTTTGGACGCTTCTGGATTTCTCCTTTCAACTTCTGAAAATCATTCTCACTCCTCCCTATCTGCACAAAAAAGGAAGCAAGAGGTGGATTTGGACATCCTAGAAAGGGAATAAGAGTCTCTGTGGAGAACGGGAAAGACAAGCTCATCTTGAATGTCAGAAAAGGAAAAAGAGGCCATAGTTTTAAGGCCTTTTCTTGCCAGCCTTCCTTTGCTTAATGCTGACAGGCAAGTAGATATAAAGTGGAACCGCTTGTGTGGAGTTACACCCTGATCTCTATGAACACCACAAATGGTGTCTTTCCAGGGAAATTACACAGGCTAGTAAATTTCCTTGTAACTGCTTAAGCTTGGCAGTCTCCCTTTTACTGCTCCTGGGACACAGGAAGTGAGAAGACAATAAAAGCAATAAAAGCAATGCCTCAGCTTTGTGTAAGAAGAGGGAACACTTCACAAAAAAGCCCTACAGGCACCTCCTGTTGAGGGAAATTACCTTTTCTTTTTTCTTTTGTTATGAAAACAACTTGGCTCCAAGGTCAATCAGATTTGCTCTGCCTTCTGATCCCAGGAGGTGGGTCTTAACTCCATTGCTGAATGGATTCAGGTGAGCAGCCGTGTTGGTCTGAAGCAGCAGAACAAGATTTGAGTCCAGTGGCATCTTTAAGACCAACAAAGTTTTATTCAAGGTATGTATGAGCTTTCCTGTGCATGCACACTTCTTCAGATACAGACTGAAACAGAATTTCCTCAAGACCTACATACAGAAAGATTGGGGGGGGGGAGAGCCAAGATGCATGAGTAAAGCTGCGATTGTATCAAGGCGACTGGTAGACAAAGAACACACTCCGGTCCAGTTGTTATACTAGTGAAGTTAAAGTGTAAGCAAGATAATTTATTCTGCTCATTTGTGATGCAGAGCAAAACTTGCATGTAAGTATTTCCTATACATTCATCTAGATGTGCTTGTTTTGTTTGTCACTGTGTAGTAGCTGGCAGTCTATGACAATAATCTTATATAAAAACACGACCCATTTACTATGGCTTAAACTTTTATGAGTCACAGCTCAGTCCGCCAAACATATGAAACAATATATTAGGTTGCCTGAAAGAGAGAAACGTATAAACAGAAAGCAACAAACAGCTGAAAGTGTTGGAAAGCACAACTTTCTAAGACATAGGTGGATCTTGGATCCAGGGGGGCAGCTGTGTTGGTCTGAAGCAGTAGAATAAACTTCCATGTCAATGTATCCGAGGAAAAGTGTGGGTACACACGAAAGCTCATACCTTGAATAAAAACTTTGTTCGTCTTAAAGGTGCCACTGGACTCAAACTCTGTTTTATAGGTAGATCTTGTTAGATCTACATATTAAAGCATAGTTCTAACAAGATCCAATCAGAGTGGGTGGGGAATCTCTCTCAATTGTGGCAGTTATCTAAGCAGTATGAATTTGAACACTGTCCTGTAAGAAAGGACAATCACCTTTTTAAATAAGTTGACCACACCCAGTCCCTGTAAAATCCATGTCTGATGGTATCAAATCTCCATATGAATTCCAACACAGCAGCTTCTTTGAATTTCTTCTGCAAAAGTACTCTCACCTTTAAGTCTAGGGAGACTGCAAATGCTTCCCCACTGTTCTCATACTAGTCACATGACACATTACAAGATCCAATATTGTGTGCATGGGCACTGGATTCTGAAAACTAATGTAACAATACTCTGCCTAAAACATTTAGCAGAGTACATTATTATATGTCCTTAATGTACAAGTGCTAGATGATAATATCTGCATCTGTAATAGAGCTATTTGACTTATTTGACTTGGGCTACAGGCAAACTTCACTGTAATCATACATTTCCTGAAGTTAAATCTACCATGGACCTTCTTGCACCTACAAGATCCTATGCACGTCTTCATTTCATGAAACTATAACCTAGAGATAGATAAAGATGGGTAGCTGTGTTAGTCTCTCTGTAGCAGTAGAAAAAAGTAAGAGTCCAGTAGCACCTTAAAGACTAACAGAAGTGAGCAGTGAATCACGAAAGCTCATACCCTACCGCATTTTTTTTAGTCTTTAAGGTACTACTGGACTCTTAGTCTATAACCTAGATACTATGATTGTTATGTGCTTTTCTGGCCAAAAATTCTATACCATTTGACTGTAATATTAATAAGAATTAGCACACTTACATTTGAAATAACTGCATCTTGTCAGGTGGAAAAGAAAGCGCTGTGTCCAAGAATTTACAGGCTGATAAATATAAGGTCAGTTCATTCTGCTGTATGTCGCTGAGTAAGGGACCGTTGCCATCTCCTGATGCTTTCTGTTTACTTAGTTTGCTATTGCTTCTGTAAGATTCATAAGTAAGCAAAACAGAGATCTGAGAACAAGCAAACCCTAGTAAGCTACGTTTTATTTATTTACATTATGTATTAACATTATTTACAGTCCGCCTTTATCATTTGGAATCCAGGTGGATTACACAGAGTGAGTCAATACAACTGCTGGATGGGACATTCAATAAACAACGCAATAGGATTAGGGTTGTAGAACTAATCATAAGTTTGAAAATGGAACATGACACATTAAATGATGCAAAATTCCACAGTAAGCTCAGCAAGAGTCAAGCTGAACTCCATCAAAAGTGGGGAGCACAATATCCCCGGCCCAAAGGATGTCCGCTTAGCCTTGACCAGGGACAGGTCATTTTCTGCCCTGGCCTCTGCCTGGTGGAACATGGTCCTCTTTAAGATCAGAGTCCCGTGAGACTTATTACAGTTTTGCAGGGCCTGTAAAATGGAGCTGTTCCACCAGCCCTTTGGTTGGGGTGGTAGAAGCCCAACCATATGGCCTCCGTTGCTGAAAACTGCCCAGCTAGCCTTTCCATCTTTGCTCTGTCATCTAGTTAGCATTGCTGGAACTATATGAGTGAATGTACTGGTTTGCCTCTTTTAATGTTTTAAATAATTTATTGTACTGTCATAATTGGTTTTAATAGTTTTGTAACTTCTTTGTTGTTAGCTGCCCTGAGCCCGCTTGCGGGGAGGATGGAGGAAGGTTTAGTTTCAATTTGTTCACTCTTACTGAATTTACTACAGCAGTCAGGCAGTTATTCAGGACCACTACTACATAACCAGGGGATTTGGATAAGGAGGTATCACTTCCCCATTGATGACATCCAACAACAAAGCTTTGAATGATTTGTCCTAAGGGCTTTACATAGAGATTTTAAAAAATGGGGGGATAGAATTGCACCCTGAGGAACTCCACAGGATAAATTCCACACACTGATGACAACTGGTCTCCCACAGGAATATTTTGAGTCCAATCTGTGAAGAATGATTTTAATCAATTCAGCGTATATACCCTGATATACCTACTTCTGCCTCTAGGTGCCTCAACAAGATGGTATGATCTACTGTACCAAAGAATTATAAAATCATAAAATCACAGAGCTGGAAGGGGCCATACAGGCCATCTACTCCAATCCCCTGCTCAATGCAGGATCAGCCTAGAGCATCCCTGACAAATGTTTGTCCAGCCGCTGCTTAAAGACTGCCAGTGAGGGGGAGCTCACTACCTCCGTAGGTAGCTGATACCACTGCTGAACAACTCTTACTGTAAAAGTTTTTCCTAATAGTCAAAAAGTACCTTCCCACCCTTAATTTAAACACATTATTGCGATTCCTATCCTCTGCTGCAAAGAGGAACAGCTCCCTGCCCTTCACTAAGTGACAGCCCTTCAAATACTTCAAGCGAACAATCATGTCCTCCCTCAACCTCCTCTTCTTCAGACAAGTCCCTCAGCCTTTACTCATAAGGCTTGGTCTCCAGGCCCCTGATCATCCTCCTCACTTTCCTCTGCACCCATTTCATTCTGTCCACATCCTTTTCGAAGTGACATTTTTTTCGAAGTGACACACAATACTACCAATGCTCCCTCTAAGCTGTGGAGTCTTATGAGCAAAAATTCAACTTTGTGAGCTACAGGCATTAAAGTTGTGAGCAAGTGATTTGGCTGCTGCATGAATTAGTTTGCTCTGGAGCCATCCTTCCTGAGCTAAGACAAAAATGTGAGCCAGAGGCTAAAAAACTGTGAGCTAGCTTAGAGGGAAAACTGGATACTATAGGTCTGGCCTAATGCACTATACAGCCAGGATTATGACATCTTGTGATTTGGATGTTATGCCTCTTTTGATACACCCCAAGACCACATTAGCCTTTTTTGTCACTGCATCACACTGGCTGCTTATTTTTAACTTACAATCCTCCCATACCCCACGTTCACACACATTGCTACACAGAAGTGTATCCCCCATCCAGTATGCGTGTTCCTAATTTTTGTTACCCAGATGTAGAATTCAGCACTTAACCTTGTTAAATTGCATCTTGTTCAAATCTGCACACTTTCCCAGTGTGTTGAGATCTCGTTGAATTCTATATCTTCTGGTGTGTTCTGTAAGCGTGTGCGTTATAAATGTATGTATGTTTGTGGTTGCTAACACATATGTACACACCTGGACTATGGTTATGAATCCCCATGGCTGGGGAGAGAAGCTGCTTGCATTGAAACTCTGTGTCCTGCAAAGCTCTTTGCCTGCTGTTTATGCAAATGCTGTTTGACTCACAGACACAGTTCAAGAAGAAGCAATCGCCATTGCTAGCAGCCCACAAAACAACAACTGGCATGGGTATATCCACCATTGATGAACTTTTGGTAAACACATAACCCTGGCATCTGGTTTGCATCCAAAAAGACAGTTTCCTGTTTTATGGTCGTTTTATGGCAGGAGACCAAGCTACATGCTATGCACATCAAAGGTTTGCCTGGGTACCCTCTTCACCCCTTTGGACCAGATGCCCCTCTTGAGTAAAGGTTTAGATTTCACATTGCCCACTCCTC